TTATATTTTATATTTTATATTTTATATTTTATATTTTATATTTTATATTTTATATTTCATATTTTATATTTTATATTTTATATGTTATATCTTATATTTTTATTTTATATTTTATATATTTTGTTTATAATTTACTATTTTTCAATTTAAATATTGATATCAATCTATCATTCTATCAATAAACAACTTTTTTATTTATCATTTAGCGGGTTTTCACCAGTCGAACTTACCTAGGTGCAGCCTATTGCGTTTATTGCATTGTATATAAATTCTGGTACCCTTTTGTCTATCATATTTGTTGATGTTTATTCTGCCGAATTTGATTTTATATTGCCAATTCTTCGGAAATTTTCAATAATTGCACAATCTATGGTTGCACGATTGTTTTTATTTGACTTTTTATTTCTAAATAGATAATTTCTTCCCAGATAAGAAACGGAAACGCTTCGAGTGCTGAGTCAGCCACTCGAGCTCGAGGGTTCACCAGCGGCATTTCAGCTATTTGTTGCGCAATTGTTAATGCCTGATAAATGCATCGAATGGCTTAGCAAAAACAATGTATTCTATGATAAAATGGCATTTAAATTAATTCAAATTGATATCGATAGAAAGTCAATTGAGATGGCCAACACCGGCGTAGTACTACGCTATAAGATAAAGAAAATATTCCTGAAACACTTAAACAAATTCTGAGAAATCTACAAAAATTATAAATAAATATGCTATGTTTACCCTCTGGTAACTTGAACTTGTTACTTAATCTAGAATCAGCTTTTTAGTTAATCTGCAAAGCTCTTTAAATGTTTTGTATTATTGTACATTCACATAAACATAATGCACATGTCCAACATATGCTGACGTATTGTCTGTCAAATTATCAAAATTATATTTTGATAAGATACTCAAGTAGTGCCAGCATAGAACTCACCTTATGCATAAAATGTCGAAAGAGACCCAAACAAGTTTGGCAAGTAGGGTAATCGAATATTTATATCATATCAGTTTGTCAGAGGCTTAAGACCGATGGCATTTCACAAATTTCATTTGCTTTTGACATCCACAACTTGTGCCGCCTATAAAAGGTGACCAACAATTAGCTGGCCCCCGAAGTACGCATTTTACGACTGTGCCACAAGCACATACGAAGGAATAAGCAAACTATCTATTACCCTAATATCGAAACGAAATGAAAGTGATTTTGCTAACGATATTGGCCTGCCTGGCGGCCGCTGTGTGCGCAGGACCCGGCCAATCGCTCGGCGAATCGAAGCTGCTGCAGGCGATGCGCAGCACCAACGCACTGCAGCAAAACAATCCGGCTCGCTCCATAGAGTGCTTTCAGTACTACAGCGAGATCTTCGACCAGCAGCTGCAGCAATACGAGCAGCAGTATCAAGCCTGCGAGAACAGCAGCCAGCTTCAGCTCGCGACACTCGATTGGCTGTACGAGACGAAACTGTCCGGCTTGAGCAACAATGCTCAGTCCGCCTGCCAACTGATTCAAAACTGCGATAATCTAAATGATACCGGTTCATCTCTAGCCTGTTATGCACAGGTGGTAAGTGGGCTCAAAGTGAACTATGATTGAATATTGTATATATTTATTTTTTGTTTATAAACATTCTTTACAGGGCGCTGAAGACGCCAAGGTTATGTACAACATTTCGGGCGCAGCCAGCCAGTATAACAGCGAGTTCAATCAGAAGAAGCAGGTGATCGAGTACCAGCTCGAAGACTGCTCGAATGAGGCGAGACGTGCATATGAGGTTGACACGGAGCAGACCTATGTCAGATTGCAAGCTTGTTTAATGGGCACTGAGCCGGTGCCAAGTACCACTACAGCTGGAACTAGTGCATCGCCAGTGACCGGAACAACTACGCCCGTGCCAAGCACAACGGGAAATAGCACAGCCGATACTAGTTCGTCTCCGGTGATAAGCACAACGACGCCCGTTCCCAGCACCACTGTTCGATCAACGAAAGCTCCAAAAACTACAACAACAAAAACAACAACAACAACCGATATTCCAGCTACAACAACTACAACAGGTGCTTACACGACCAGTTCGATTCCAGTTTCAAAAAGCACTACAATTGCAACAACTTCAACTTCCAGAAGACCCATTTCAAGTATAAAGCCAACAACGACAACCGACACATCCACAGCCACGCCCAGTCCTAGTTCCAGTACCAGTTCCCATGCCACACCACCAGTTCCACTCGATTCCACAACAGCATCACTTATCAGCACAACACTTCCCGTTCCCCTATCGACGACATCGGCTTTAGTTACAGTCAAGCCAACAGCTTCGGCCGCGCCCAGCCTGAGCTCAGATCTTAAGAAGCTGCTGCACTCTCTGCTACACTAGACAACATGGTTTATGTACTGCATTAAATAGGTAACGAGCTGACAAACCCTCGCTAACATTGGAGTTGCAAAACTTTTGTAATCTCCTTGGGTGGGTGGGTTGGTCTTCGCTGCGTTCGGTTCGTTGCCTGGTCACAGCATAAGTAACGGTAAAAGGGAAAGTAAAGTAAAAGCAATTTTATGGAAATGTTGGCCAAATATTGACAGAGTCCACACGGACGAGGCGACAGTCGCAATGGAAAAGTTCTGCTAAGCCAATTGCAACTCTGCAAGTGTAACTTACATAATTAACGCGAGTAGATGTTAACTAGTTTGAGCTGATGCGCCTGACCGACTTACCAGATGCCCTGTAAACTGCTTCAAGTGAAATGCCAGCATATCAAAAACATTTTAAATATATATTTTACACTCCGTATTGTTAACTGTACAGCTGAAAGTTTGTATTCAATATAAAAGAGCATATAAAAAAAACATAACTTTATATTATTACTCAGTAGTCAAGATTATGAGCAAAAATAATAGAATATATTAAAAATTTAATGGTAATGAAATGAATTCTCTTTAAATTTAACTTAACTTTCATATGTGCACATTTATTGTATTTATGAAAATATATTTTTTAAATAAATAATAAATAAATAAAAAATAAATAAATAAATAAATCTTAATTATATTTATATTTAATATATACAATTTTTTATTTTATACCTTACACATTTATAGTTTATATACATACTTATTATCAAAACTTTTAAAAAGTCGAGAGTAGAGTGAAAATCTAAACAAAGTTCAGAGCTTTGATAGGAATATTATAATTATCGCTTTATCAAATCTATCAAATCATATCATTCTATCAATCATTCTCTCATTGCTCTCTAATACCATTTGATCCGCTCTGAGTACAGGGTATTGCAAATTATAATTTGCATATTCATATTCCTGCACCTAGACAAAGTTTCAGCCATTGCCGAATGCCCATGGAAATGCTTTTCAAATTGCCGACCTAATCAAAGATAATTAAGATTTTGGGCTGGACTTGAAATCTAAATTGAATGGCAATTAAAGGCTTTAAGTCTTAGCATTTAACGGTTAAATAAACAGTAGCTATCTTTTGGTTCAAGGGTGTTTTTCATATAAATTTAATTGCATTTGCTTTGCAGCATTGGCTTTGGCTTTGGCTGTTGATTGTTGTTGCCGGCGGCATTGTTGTCACTGCAATTAAAACAAATTAGAAATGTAGCCACACACACACACACGCAGAGAGAGTGCGAGAGAGAGAGAGAGAGAGTGGGTGCAGGCAGTAGTGCCCCTCTAAAATGAAGCCAATAACTGGCGACAGTGCCGCGTGTCCTTGCCACAGGCTGCAGCTGGCGGCTGATTTAAAACGTTGCCTAGCTGCTCTTTTCACATTACTTGTATGTGTGTGTGTGTGTGTGTGTGTGTGTAGGAAATGTTAATGCAGTTCGAGCTATGTTTGCCTCGCTCGTTGAAAATGCTTTCGCACAAAGAACGCAATTAAGATATGCAAATTAGCAGCTCCCACGCTCACAACGCTTTCTATGTATGTATGTTTGTGTGTGTGTGTCTGTGTGCTCAGCAGGTGTACAGCAGGTGAGCTGCACTGCTTGATATTTAGCTGCACTCCATTATTAATACGCTTGCACACACAAAAACCTTAAAGACACTGCAAATAATTAAAATACGATTCACTAAGATCGAAATTCAGAGAATATGGGGAGACAAAATTCCTGGAAACTGAAAATCAGATCTGTGAATGCTAGAGTATTAAGTCTTAGCCAATCAATGCATTTGTTTTGGCATATCCAAAGTCTAATTTCCATGAAGCCAGAAATTATTCAGCTATGAAATGCATTTACTCTGAGTTCAGTGCATTCCTGCCTAGCTCTGCCTAGCTTCCAGTGAATTCCATACCTGAACTCTACCCTCAACATGGGACTAATTTCATTATCTTTGTGAATTTTCCGAAAAGGGGCTCATTGACAGGTCTTGTTCAACTGAATGGGTTTGATTTTATGCCAATGCTCGGAAGGGTTTGTCTCTTGAATGGTTATAGAGAAGCATTTATATAGCTAGGAAAGCATTTCTAGCTGATTCAAAACAGTTTTATCTGTTCATTAACCATTTATAAACATTTCATATCTTTACATATGTAGGTCACTTAGTTTGCTCTCACCTCGCCCAACTTTGATAGACTACCAACTGCCCACAATTCCATAAGGCCTTAGCAACCGCTGTAATACTTTTGAGGACCTGCAAAGTTCTTCAATTATATGTGGCTATAAAAGAATGGCTGTAAAACTAAGTCGAGTTAATAAAATTCTGTGAACTTGTTTCCGAGTTACCCAAGACGTTCGCAACAATCGAAAATGTAACTGAGACTGCGAACAGCTCGCGTGATTCCCAGGAACAAAAGCGAAAAGTGCTCGCCAAGGAATCGACATGTCGTAAATAATTGCAATATATATTTCATTTAATAGATTACTCAATTTGTGATTCACCAAACGCTCTGACTATCGATTTGTGTAGTTTACGATAGCTGGAGAACAGCACGTGGCATGATAAGCGACTGAAGACGGCACGAATATAGATTACATTCCCATCGGGTCTAAAAAGAACGATCAATGACCCTCACAATGTGAAGAATATGCACAGACAAATAATAGAAAATCAATATAAATACATGTAAGTGTAAATTAATTTCAAAAATAGTTAAGAATGTCAAGCGCAAGACTAAATATTTACTTAATAATTGTGTTCGGGCTATACAATGGTTGCTTATCTACAAGTGGAGCTGACCAATGATAAAGGCGGATGACGTTCCTCAACCTTATCAATATCGGGCAGCGCTACCTATACTAAGTGGACAACTAAAACTTTTTTAACTGTCAGATATATTTCACTAGAATAAACACTTGATGGATATACACTGGATTGATGTCAACAATAATATAAGAAAAATTATAGGCAGGACACAATAATAAATATTTGGTGAATCATAGAAATTATGTCAATTGTCCATTTCAATGAATGGATTGTGATTTGCAGAAAACTCTTTAAGTTTGTGTGAAAATAATTTATGATATCTATCTGGGTTTTCGGGAACCATATTGATTTCAGATTAAAGTCACACGGTAGCAGATGATAAGACCGATAGTGTTAGCTGGCATCGATAAGGCGTACGGCTTAAGTGATAAAGCCAAAATTTTAAATAAAATGCTTCTGTCGCTTGCCCCATTGCCTCAATAACGAATCCGACGTTCATAGCAAACGAATCAAAAATCGTGTTAGCCAT